ATATTTCAATCAATAAATTAGAAACTAAATGACAACCATCGAAAATTCGCATATAATTACCCAAAAGCCCTCTTAACCAGCTTTCGTTTGTTAGCAATATCGAATGTCCTTAACACATTACTTACCACTCATAGTTATAAATTTGTTTAATAAGTGGCCAGGATGACGACGATAAATAAAGAAAAACTGAATACAACTTGCTTAAAAATTCTTTAGCTAATTTTATATTTTTTTTTTCAGCCAGCAGAATAAAAATGTACATACATATACATATATGTTTACTTAACGAATAACAAAAAAACATGGATTAGCGTTCAAAATGGTAAAACAAGCAAACAATTTTATAGCAATGAAGGGCATCCAATAAAAAAAAACTGCTGAACTTATAAAAAAATACTTCGCAAAATTTCAATGCTATGTATAAAAATTAAACAACTCAATCTATGAACTTAGCAACTTTCAAAAAAGCAACTAAATTCAAAAGTTTGAATACCACGAATTCGCTGAAAAATCTTGAAAAAAATTTATTATAAAGGTTAATGGCAAACAAATATTCTAATACTAAACACTTAAGTATTTGTAAGGTTAATTAATAGACAAATCTTAAAAATCTGAACTCTTTAAGAAGGCGGATGGCAAAATAAGCAAAAATTTGAAAATGCTTAAAATTATTAATAGAATGATCACAATAAAGGGTTTCTAAAATTGTTTTCACATGCGTGATGTGAACTGTGTAACTGCTTAAGGCTATTCATAACATAAATACATAAGCAAAACTTAAGCATTTTTAATACAAAAGCAAAGATTTTATAGTAAGAAATACATATAAAGGTTTTACAAAATTCGAAATGATTGTCACAAACATTTTTGATAAACAAAAGTAATTGAACCAACGTGCTTGTAAGAGTGCATGAAGCTGTGAAAAATTCCTTGAAGAGGTATGAAGAGAGTTTCATTAAAAAATGTTGAATTAGATGAAAAAACACAAGAAGTCATATATTTTAATTAACAAAATATAATTTAAATTAAAAAAAACTAAATACCGCTATCCCCAGTACACATATAATAAACGAAACTGATAAAGAGGTAACAAAGTAAAAAAAATTNTAAAAAAAAAACTAAATACCGCTATCTCCAGTACACATATAATAAACGAAACTGATAAAGAGGTAACAAAGTAAAAAAAATTAAGAATATTAAGGATCCAAGCAAGCGCTTGGATAAGGAGATATAACAGGATTTGTACTACGACCGTGGACCTATTGAGTCCTTTGAACTCATCACAGGATCTCGGCTAACTGTAAAACTCTAACAAAACCCTGCAGTTTCATGGTCGACAAAGCGTGAGTGTGCGTAGCATCAAGCCAAAGCTCCCCCCAGTTAAGTTTGCATTCTTCTGACAATCTCGTCGCCTTCTAGGAGGGGGTGCAGCGGGCGTTCTGTCGCCGTGTCACAATAGCGACAGGAGTCGCCTATGCTATGTAATGCGCAGGATGTCATTTACGCTCGGACGGGTGGCTTCTGCTGCCCTTGCCGGTCTCAACTGCAGTGTGTTGGGTTCCCTTGGGGGTTTTCAATGTGATTACATTTGAAGAGGTGGCTTTTAGTGAAGCCTGACTTTCGCTGAAAATGTTAAGATGCTGTACTCTAAAATGTCTTTGCGGATACACGTCCTCAAAAGCACTTATGGCATAAACCTCTCCACCATAGGATTGAGGCCCTAGACCTCTATATTGCCGCCCCTTTACCTTATTTAGTTTTTGATCCATCTATACACCACATTTCTTTTCAAGAATTTTCTGGTTCCGTGCCGTTTCGCAGGCTCATTTGATCTTGAACCTTGCTTCAAAAGTTGTTCCATTGAGCTCAAAATCTTGAACTATTCTAAACTGAGTTGATACTTCTTTAAATACATAAATATAACCAAGTCCACTCCCTCGAAAAATATTATCACAAAACCACCTTTTGCTTTTCACAGACGGCATAGTTAAATCTGTAGAGCTCCAATTGTTGGACAACACGTAAATGTCCACTAAAAAAGTAATAGGGTATTACGGAATAGAACTAGTGCGCTATTAAACTCTTCTCTGACTTAAACGGACACTACATTGTTTCATTGTTTCAAAATTGTTGAAAAAAAACTGGTTCTGAACTAGTATCGAAATATTTAGGTTGAAGGTAATATATTTAAACTTGTGTATATACTAGGGTGGTCCTTAAAATATTAACATTTTAATTTTGTATGGGATGGCCCTATATTTTGTTCTCCATCCAAAAAAAACGGCATCCATGAACAAATTAAAAAAAATTAAGGGGTCGGTACAAGAGTTTGAAATTTTTATTTTTTCAAAACGTTACATATGATAAGTTTGCCATATTAGTGAAAGTTATTCATGTAAATCCATAAACTCGCTGAGTTATAGCTGGTAAAAGCCAAAATTTTCTCGATTTTTTGCGATTTAAAAAAAAAATGTAAACCCTGGTAGCGACCCTTTTTTTATTTTATTTTTTCCCTGGATATCTTTATTTTGTACGTACAACAAAATAAAGAGGTGCCCCACGATGTTGATATTTTTAAGGACCACCCTAATGCATGTATGCATATATGTACATATAAACTTATGTATGCAAATGTAAGCGAATTCAAATTTTGAACGAATACCACAAATTTTGTACAACAAAAAACGCACAAAAGCTTTATGTACGTCGTTGTTGTTGTAATGCAAGGTTTTTGTAAAAGTAAATACTAAATGTATGTACATTGTACATGCTTACTTTCATAGGACAAGCAATTGTATGATTATTGGAACTATTTTTTTTTTTTGCGAAAATAACTTTCCAATTATCTGACAAAATAAAAAATCTTGGAAAGACCGTTGGCAATAGCTGTAATGGCTGTATTCATATTTTTTAGAACCTAAGGTAGAAATTGCAAAAAAATACCATTAAATATTGTATGTATTGAAACTTATACCTACATACATACTACATACTTAAAATATAAGAGTATTTGTGAAAATGAAAATACTTAAAGCATTAAATACACCATTATACAGATAATAGCAAAAGAAAAATAAAACAAAAATTTTAAAAGCTACAGTATGAAAATAGATGATAAAACTAATCTTAAACAAAAATAAATATAAAATAAACTATTGTATTTAATTGAAATCGTTTTTGACTTCTTGAAGTGTAAACAATTACAGAGGTGAAATGTTGGAAGGCATCAAATGAAAATCATCAAAATCAATAGAAAAATGGGTACATGCTTCAAAAGTCTAAAGATTTGAAAAATCATGAAAATTATGAATACCTGAAGAAAATACAATTTAGGCAATTTGTCAATATTTATACCTACAATAGGGCGGGTCAATGTTATTATATATATATTATTATATATATATATAATAACATTGACCCGCCCTATTGTAGGTATAAATATTTTGACTGTCCGCGTATGGTATAGGAGGGTTCTACGTGTAATTCTAAGCAAATTTCCAAGTTTCGAAGAAACCATGGGTCTAAAATAAATTTGGAGTTTGCTAAATTGCGAAAATAGGTTTTGAAGAAAATGTGAAAATTGTCACCTCCGGTGGAAGTTTTAAGAAAAAGATAAGTGCTGAAATGGATTCCTTATACCACAAAGTTCCTTACAGCATTTTTTTTTTACAAACTTTAAGCACTTCTTTACGACTGCTTAGAAACCAATTTTCGCAATTTGGCAAACTCCAAATTGATTTTAGAACCATTGTTTGTTTCTACACGTAGAATCCGTGCTATACGCGCATAGTCGAAAAAATCTACCAGATAAATTGACCCGCCTTAACCTACATACATATATATGGGGCGCTCCATCCAAAATGAACGGGGTTCACAGTTCATGTGTTCGATTTGTTTCAAATTTTTAGGGTTGATGGATAAATATAAATAATAAACAAATATGAAATTTGAGCTAGATTAATACATTTTTAAAAACTTTACAGCACCAAAACAAAAACAAATCGATTTAATAGTTTTCCCAATATCTCGAGAACGGGGCGAGGAAAAAGTTTGAAAAAAATCACACATACTGACATCAAAATTCTCTATGAAAAGAAATATTTACAAAAAAAAAATTTCTTGAAAACGTTTTCACATACAAATTATTTGATAAAAAAAAATCAGTTTTTGAAAATATGCCATCTCAAAAAAATTGAAAAAAATCACAATGGTAGCTCTGAGTAATGCGCAATATTTAAGTATAGTATTATGGGGTGCACTCTACAATAATTTGAGTTATGGTTTTTTTTTTTACACCGAAGTACATTACAACTTTACAAATTATTAAAATTTTTTTATAATTTTTTTGAGTATGTATGAGTTTTGTAGCCCATTAAATTTTAGTATGATATAGTGTAAGTTTTAAACTACTGCAAAATTACGTTGATTTTCTTATGGAAGAAAATGCGTAAAACCGTTTTCAAAGAAAATTAAAAAAAAAATAACGCCAGTATGAATTTCATACATATATTACTGTTCAAGTCCAGCACACAGTATGTAATTAATTAATAAAATACTGATCGTCAAGAGGAATTTCCTAAACAGCAAAAGCATGAATGACAAAAATACCAGTTTGTTAGCGCTCAGTTGATATTTTTCTTTTTTAATATTTACACTTTCAAACCATTGTCAGGTCAATTAATCAAATGAATTCGCATTACTCATCAATAGAAATTAATGTTCTTCCCCTCCACGAAGACTTGTGGGAAGTGAGAAGACGTTAAAGGTGCTCCAAAATACATATGTATCAAATAAACAAGTACGCAAATTTTCTATATTTGCAGTTTTTGCATTACTTGTAAAAAATTAATTGAAACAGTTGTGGTAATTCCCCCCTGAATATTTTGAAGTAAAGTACAAAAATATATGTATGTATGCAAGCATATAACTGATAACCCACTGCTTATCAATTGCAGCAAAGCAGCATCAAGACAGAAATTGAATCTATATTTAAGTAGCGAAATTTGCTTGGCAGACATCATTCAACAACTTGATTACAGCGAAAAGTGACAGAATTGTAGTCTTCTAATAGAAGTCGAGTTTTAAAGGGAAAATACTTTTAAGGATACTCTCCAATTTAGTTTCGAAAATGTCTCGTCAACTCATCCACTTCGTTGCTGTAGCAATTGGTAAGGCGAACAATCAAATATCAAATAAAAATCATATCAATAAATATTGCATTTTTCACTCCTCCAGCACTACCCGCCTGCTTTGCCATCACAATACAACCGCGTAGCTCTTGGAATGCGGCAGCAGCTCGCTCGCCAGCGCGCATTAGCGGCAAGGTCGACTATGTTATCATTCATCATTCGGATAATCCGAATGGTTGCAGCACACCAGCCGATTGCAAGCGCCTAATTAAGAACATTCAGAGTGATCATAAGGGGCGTCGCAAATTCAGTGATATCGGCTATAATTTCATAATTGCCGGCGATGGCAACATCTATGAGGGACGTGGCTTCGGTTTGCAGGGATCGCATGCACCCAACTATAATCGCAACAGTATTGGCATTGTATTTATTGGTAACTTTGAAAGTGAGTAGCTAGAAGTTGTTGGACTTTGTTGGTGTGCACTTTTAATGAGATTTAAAAATCTTTTTTGCATTCTTTTTTATTTTTTTTTAGATACCACTCCTTCGCAGACAATGTTGCAGAATGCCAAAGATCTAATTGAGCATGCAGTGCAGCAGGGCTATTTGAAAGACAACTACACACTGCTGGGTCATAGACAAACGAAAGCTACAGCTTGTCCAGGACAGAAATTGTATGATGAAATTAAAACGTGGCCACATTGGAAGAGCATTTAAATGCTACATACATTCATAGTATGTGCCAGATTTTGCATGTGAAATTATTTCCATATCTTTGAAGTGGTTTGAGAGTACATATGTACATAGTTAAGCCAAATGAGAGTAAATCAAAGTGATAATAATTGCATTGAAATATATATTTATAAACTAATATTTAGTTGAACAAAGATAATTCAGTTGTTTTACTAAGGAAATATTTAGTCAAAGATAGGTAAATAAATGGAAAGGCGATTCAGTTTTGTATCGGAGTGATCTTCAGGCGGTTAAATAAATGTAGCCTCCCTAACTGTACTATAACCGCCTTGGACCAAAAACGTGTGCGGTGATTGTTCAATGAATAATTTCCTTCAAGTATTGAGTAGCTGTTTTGGTTTTTAGAAATTGAGTTAATTTTCGGAAGGAGGAGGAGAAAGGCTTCACTTCACTTAGCATTTCTAATTGGCGTCTACTGGCACAGAATGGTAACGACTGGCGTACTTTGTTGGTCTCAGCCAAAATCGCTTCGGCGGATATAGCGCCAATCATAGCGTATAACGGTGCTCAATTACCAGAATAGCCAATTCTTATAATTTCGGATCGACTTAGGAAAACTTGTGGAAACCCAAGCAGGGTCGTATATTTTTAACACCGACTTACAAGACGATATTCGTAGCACGCATTCTACTTCTAATAAAGGTCAGTCAGTTTTATATATGTACATATATATTTTTAATATTTTTCTTATTTAAACTAGTAAGTAGGTATTAACTACGATACCAAAAAATAAAAGAATCAAACGCAAAATAAATTTGAGTAATATCTGGGTTAAAAGCTGTATTCGAAGATTTGCCAATAGCCTTGCCGTTTGAAGGTATACCAGAAGTTGTGTTTCCAAGGAGTCAATTGAAAAAAAAAACAATTGCAGTAAGCTAATCGGTGCATATCAAAAATAAGATTACACTTAGTCAAAGAATATTAGTCCATGTAAATTTTCTTCTCTTAAGCGAAGCTGGATCACAGGGATTGAAATAAAAAAAAAGGATGTAAAGAATTGAGCATGGAAGAGCCATAGTGTCAAAGAATCGGAATTAAGGGGTTTTAGAAGACCTCCTATTTTCAACTAAACCAACTGGGGTTTTTGGATGTTATATGTAAATACATATGCATGTATGTATTTGCGCAACGTACGAAAAAAGATATGAATTGTGTTCGAGCTATGTGATAACACTGTGCACAAAAATGAAATTCTTATTTTGAAAAATAATCAATTCGGATACGCTGAATTCAGTGGTGATAGTCATTTCAACGAATAATATCAAATTAAAATTTTTAGGCGGGACCGGTTTTTGAGTAAAATTTTATGATTTTAGATGGCTCTGGAAATTAATATTTGGGGTTTTTTTTAAATGGAAGTAATCCGAATTTGCGATGCGACAAATATTTAGTACAGCTTTCATACAAAAAAAAAATTCAAAAATTACCGAAAACGGCCAAAACAATAATTTTTGTATGGAAATAGCCCAATATAATATATCTTTTTTTTTTTTTTTGTAAAACTACGTTCTCAAGCGACTTCAAACTTGTCTTGATTATAGTATATTTCAGTGTAGAAAATAAACGTCAAACATTTTGCCTCACACAAAGGCGAGGGACCTACGGTTTACGCCTACTTCGAAGGGCGATTGTATTTTTATGAGAAGCTATGTTTTCGTGGCAGAATACACTCGGAGATTTGGCAATTACGATTTCTAACTTGATTGTAATTTTCGGCTAAAATAGTAGGTAAATAGCTTTCATTGCGGACGAGAAATTCCAATTTGATATACTTTCGATTTGTTCCCTAAAATATTTTGTAACGGAATGCTTTTCTTACAAATAAAGTTATTTTTCATTATGGGGTATGGAAAGACCACATATATACATATGTATGTATATCTTTCCAAACTAGATTTTATATCTCATGTGATGCTGAAGACCACGTTTCCCAAGGCATAGTCGTACTTTTAAAATTAACGGTAATAAATAAAAGTTCCTAATTTCTGAACCTCAAATACAGTTCTATCAAAACTTCCAATTAGCAGGGACACCGGCCATAATAGCTTCCAAACTGCATTATCAAGTACAGTACGTATAGCAAATTCGATTCAAACTACGTATTCATATATATACATTAATATACATTAGACTGGATGCACTTTGTAATTGAGTGAAATAAAGGGCACTTGATTGTATTGTATTAGTGTTGTCTTAGGACCAATGTATAATTAATTGGCCATAAAAAATAAAAGTAAAACAATGCTTATCTTCAGCCCGTGCAATTGATTCAAGGGATCAAACTTTTAGATAAAGTAACATTAAATTCTAATAACCAATAACCGATTGAAACAGTATCAGTTTAAAGGCCATACAATTTATCATCCCATTTTCATACTGGATTATTCAAGTTGCGTGTGGAGATTGCCACACACCACAGCACATTGGACAAGTGATAGCACTAGAGCAAAAGACAGCAAGCTGTGCGTATTTTGTTGTTGGGTTTAGAACCCATATATGTAACAAAGTTTGACAATTTAGAGTAAACTGTAAACAAAAATGCCAATTTAAAGACGAGTTTCTCAAAACAAAATTTAAAATCAACAGAAGGAAAACGAAATGCTACTAGTGAAATTTCTTTTAGAAATTTTAACAATATTTAATCATTAGCGTCCAATTCCTATTCAAACTCACAAATGTCCAGTTTTTCTACGCAAAATTATAACCTCAGAAACCATCTCCATACATATGTGCTCCTAGATTTGAATCACAAGCGTCCAGCGTTAAGAATAAAAACTGGTTCGTTTAGGCCAGATAGAACCGAATACAGTTCTGCCTACTCAATTTAAATAAGTACTTGTTGGCAAAAATGATTATGGACTTCAGTGCCGAACTTATTATCGGTTATTATTATTGCTTCTTCCCAAATGAACGAGCTTCGCTCATTTTTCGAATCTATAAGTGTAAACAGCGGCGTGAGAGCCTAGACTCGTATGACCTGACTGGTTTTTTTAATGACAGGAGATACTTCGTTTTGTCCTCGTTCTCCAGTGGGGCTATTCTAACTTATTCGTTTTAAGGGTTCACTGCAAAGCGAAAATTAATTATTGATTCATAATGAATCGGTTAAAATTCAATACGCTAAATTACAGTTCATTTTCGCCTTCAACTTCGTTTATACGAACACGTGAGGTTACCCCGTGGGTACTGCGCAGTCGGCGTAGCCCAGGCCTGAAGATAATGCTTTGGTGACCCCGCTCCCATGGCTGGACAACAAAAGAAATAACGCCCCGGCCAAAATACTTAGAAGTATAGTTCAGTAGATTATGTCTACACTTGATGTGAAAAACTCGGCACAGACCCGTAAACCGTTGTAATCTATACATATTGTCGCTACCATGTCAAACTATCGAATGTGAAAATCGGTCATTTTCAGGAGAGCAAAGAAACTGTTGTAAAAAATGTTGTTGTCATTAGG